AGTCGATGCTTAAGGGGCTTCCTCAACTAGACGTGAGAACAGACACGGTCTGTGCGGGATGCCAGTATGGTAAAGCACACCAATTACCATATGGCGAGTCGAAGTTTAAAGCAAAAGAACCTTTGGAGTTGGTTCACTCTGATGTGTTCGGACCGGTTAAGCAACAGTCAATTAGCGGTATGCGGTACATGGTAACATTCATTGATGACTTCTCCAGGTATGTGTGGGTTTTCTTTATGAAAGAAAAATCTGATACTTTCTCAAAGTTTAAAGAGTTCAGAGACTCAGCTGAAGGAGAAGTGGGAAAGAAGATATGCTGCTTGCGCACAGACAACGGAGGAGAATATAGATCAAACGAGTTCTCTCAATACCTAAGGGAATGCCGAATACGTCATCAGTACACTTGTGCCAACACACCACAACAGAATGGTGTAGCGGAAAAAAAAACCGGCATCTTGCAGAAATTTGTCGAAGTATGCTACATGCAAAGAACGTATCTGGAAGGTTTTGGGCTGAAGCAATGAGGACTGCAGCCTTTGTGATCAATAGACTTCCTCAACCAAGGTTAGGATTTGTTTCACCCTTTGAGAAACTATGGAACATAAAACCTACAGTTAGCTACTTTCGAGTATTTGGCTGTGTATGTTATGTGTTTGTTCCTGATCATTTACGGAGCAAATTTGACAAGAAAGCTGTTAGATGTATCTTTGTGGGATATGACAGCCATAGAAAGGGGTGGAAATGTTGTGATCCAATTAGTGGAAGATGCTACACGTCACGAAATGTGGTATTTGATGAAGCATCTTCTTGGTGGTCCTTAGAGAAGGAGGTGTTGCCAGATTCGAGAGAATTTGGAGACAAACTACAACAAAAGATGGGGGAGCATGATGTTCAACTTCAAACAAGTTCAGATGAATCAGAAGATCCAAATGGCGATGATGTCGAACAAAGAGTGACTCAGAATCCGTGGCAAACTGGCGTGTATCAACAACCAAACGAAGAAGGTGGGCCTAGTGAAACAGAAGAATCAATTCCACAATCTCAACTTCGAAGGTCAACAAGAATACGAAGGCCAAATCCCAAATATGCCAATGCAGCCATAATTGAAGAAGCAACGGAGCCTGAGACGTTCGAAGAAGCATCGAAGAGTTCTGAGTGGATGACAGCTATGAAAGAAGAGATCGATGCACTTCAGCAAAATCAAACTTGGGATATTGTACCAAAGATAAAAGATGTGAAACCCATATCTTGCAAATGGGTTTACAAGATAAAGCGCCGTCCAGATGGGTCAATCGAGAGGTACAAAGCGCGATTGGTAGCTCGTGGTTTCTCTCAACAGTATGGATTAGACTATGATGAAACATTTAGTCCAGTGGCGAAACTTACAACCGTACGAGTCTTACTTGCACTTGCAGCCAACAAAGACTGGAACTTGTGGCAGATGGATGTAAAGAATGCTTTTCTTCATGGAGAGCTAGATCGAGAGATCTACATGACCCAACCAATGGGTTTTCAGAGTCAAGATCATCCTGAATATGTGTGTAAGCTGCGAAAAGCACTCTACGGATTAAAACAAGCACCTAGGGCGTGGTATGGTAAGATTGCTGAATTTCTAACGAAAAGTGGTTATTCAGTAACACCTGCAGATTCTAGCTTGTTTGTCAAAGCCAATGAAGGTAAGCTAGCTATCGTGCTAGTGTACGTGGATGACTTAATCATAACCGGTGATGATGAGGCAGAAATTCTTCAGACGAAGGAGAATTTATCAGTTCGTTTCCAGATGAAGGAACTTGGACAACTTAAGCACTTCCTTGGTCTAGAGGTTGATCGTACACACGAAGGAATATTTCTATGTCAACAGAAATATGCTAAAGATTTGCTGAAGAGGTTTGGAATGCTCGAATGTAAGTCAACTTCAACGCCAATGGAACCAAATATCAAAATGTGTGCACATGAAGGAAAAGATTTGGAAGATGCAACAATGTATCGACAATTGGTAGGTAGTCTGATCTACTTAACCTTGACCCGACCTGACATTTCTTATGCAGTTGGTGTGATGAGTCGGTATATGCAAAATCCAAAGAAGCCTCATTTGGAAGCAGTTCGACGAATACTGAGATATGTGAAGAATACAATTGACTATGGTCTTTTGTACAAGAAAGGTGAAGACTGCAAGTTAGTTGGTTATTGTGATGCTGATTAGCAGGAGATCATGACACCAGGAGATCAACAACTGGGTATGTGTTTAAGCTTGGCTCCGGAACAATTTCTTGGTGTAGCAAAAGACAACCAACGGTATCATTGTCAACCACTGAAGCTGAGTATCGAGCAGCAGCAATGGCAGCTCAAGAGAGTACATGGTTGATACAGTTGATGAATAATCTACATCAACCAGTAGATTATGCAATTCCGTTGTATTGTGACAACCAATCGGCAATTCGGCTGGCGGAGAATCCTGTCTTTCATGCAAGAACTAAACATGTGGAAGTACATTACCACTTTGTTAGGGAAAAAGTTTTGCAAGAAGAGATTGAGATGAGGCAAATCAAGACAGATGAGCAAATTGCTGACTTGTTTACAAAAAGCTTGAGTGTTGGAAAGTTTGAACATTTCCGTCGTCAGCATGGCGTGATTGAAAGAATGGAGGCTAACATTGAGGGGGAGTGTTGAAAATTCAATATTAGCCTATATGTTCACACCTAAATTAATTTGATGTCATTGCTTACATCAATTTAGTTTTGATGTCATTGCTTACATCAATTTAGTTAGGTGAAAATTAAGTATTTTTCTCATGTTTTAATTTCAATGGTTTAGATTATTTAGTGTTTATTTTAATGAGTGGTTTAGATTGTTTCTTGTAACCTATAAATACCCTACTTGTATTTGAGTTTTATCATCCAACAATCAAAGCTTAATTATAAGCATTTGAAAGCTTTCTTAAGAGTTCTTCCCTTTTGCAATTTTGTGAGATTATTCTAAAGAGAGTTTTTTTTTTTTTATCAATTAGAGTTTTTACTCTATTTTGATTCAACAGTATATACACACGTTCAGACACAATAATTATGTATTTTTTTTTTCAAAATTATTATCAATTATATAAAATTATAAATGAAATAAAATGATATTTTACATTAAAATCAACCATGAATTAAAATTAATCGAAAGTTTTAACACCAACGTGACTACATCAAACCACCAAGGTTGGACTATAGTGTCGAAGTGCAACCACCAAGAGAGACAACGACACAAAGAGACTTAAGAACAAATCACACAAGAGATAGAGTATATGACTCCCAACTCTATTACTCTCCCAAGAGAATGAATGGAATGAGATGTTACAAATGAGGAGGGGAGGCTCTCTATTTATAATTGAGTTTTCTCTAAATCAATGACCTATATCTATTTATATCAACGGTTAAGATGAGTTCAATTAATTTACAACTCAATCCTATCTAATTACATCCATTAGTAGGATTATGTTCTTTTATGGTTAATCAAAATGAAGTGACATTAATTATATATGTTATCTTTAATCATCTAAACATCATATATATATATATATATATATATATATATATATATATACCCTTTTTAAAGTAAATTCACTCAGATCTAAGGAAAATATAGTTTATAGAGTCTTATAAATAATTATCATTTGTTTTGATAGAATAAATTATTAACAACTAACATGCTAATTCTAAATGCAGTCATAATATGGAATTAAAAATAATTAACTATAATACATGATTTAAAAATAAATTAGTACTATATTTAATAAAGAAACTACCAACACATCACTAACGGGGTGTTTGGTTCAAGTTATGTGGGATTCTCATGGGAATGAATTCCACATTCCTATGTTTGGTTGGTCGGGAATCTCATTCCCGGTAATGTTTTATTACCAATCGTGGATTTTTTTGGTATATTACCGGGAATGTCATTACCTCCATGTCCTTATGTATTGTTGGATTACCGGAGTTTTGGATTAAAATGCCCTTAAATTTATCCTTAAACTATTTTAGATTTTAAAAAAATCTATAATTAGAATTTTATATGAAGTTCAGGGGTTAAAAATAAAATTTTACCCTTTTATTAAACCTTTTTATATTTTCAATTTTGTAAAAAAATTATATAAATTTTATGAATTTAATTTTTTTTTAAAGAAAATATATAAATATTTTCCAACTTGTTAAAAAACAAATATATAATAAGAACAATTTGGTCAAATATACATTCTAATAATCTTTTATTCCATTAACCAAACACGGAAATCTTACATTCCTGCTAAACCAACAAAACACAAAATACAACATTCTCAGTAATCTTATTCCCTAATAATCTTTTATTATTACTAGTAATCTTACATACATTCTGTAAATCAAACGCACCTAAAGGAAAAAGGAATACTCAAGTTTCAATATTAAAAATATATGTTGTCTCTTCACTGTCAATAGTTAAAGCTTTCACAGAATCAGTAAAGATTAATTAAGAGCATAAATCCGAAAGTGAAACCTCGTGTCACAGATTGGGACTTATAGAATCTGCTGAAAGCAATAATTAATATTTAATTCATCACAAAAGAGTTGATTTTACACCAATAAAAAATAAAGGTAAAATTGTAAAGATAATCGATAAATTATATTAAAATAATATTTCTATCATTAAAATTGTCAGATTATAAAATAATGATTAAATTTGAATTATTATAAAACTTATTAAATTAATATAAAATAATCATTACAAGTAACCAAATTATCATAAAATATAAATTTTAAAATAATTTTTAAATAACTATCTATTTTTTATTTACATTTAGGTAAGACATGGTGAGTCGGGTCATGTAATAATTTTTGCCCATGTAGAAACAGCCCCAATCATAATGAAAATCCGTCGCTGCATTTTCAAGCTCTTTTTGCTATTATTTCTCCGCTATATAAACCCCTTTCCATTGCACTATCACTCAAGCCTTCAAACTTCATTTTTTCCCTCCCTTTGCTTTGCCTATTTAGTTGCTATTGTCATTTGCTTCTCTGGAGCATTCTTTCCAAGAATGGACAGGAACCCCTTGCGTAGGCAGCTTCAGATCATGAGGAAATCATTTTTTGACCAGGTTTGTAAAGCATTTCCTCAACAAGTTCATGATTGTTTCATGTCAAACTAAACAGAAGAATGTGATGATTGTAGGGATATCTTGATGAACAATTCGTGCAGTTGGAAGAACTCCAAGACGAAGCGAACCCAAATTTCGTAGAAGAAGTTGTCACCTTATACTACCGAGACTCAGCCAGATTAATCCTCAGCATAGAGCAGGCACTGTAAGTTCAAGTTTCCACTACTTATAATCTAATAACGACAAGATGATAATGTTATGCTTTCTTGTTGATGATCCGCTCTTCATCAGGGAGAGGAAGCCTTTTGATTTTAACAAGCTGGATGCCCATATGCACCAGTTCAAAGGAAGCAGTTCAAGGTAACATATATCAGAACAGACAGGGATCTTTGTTGTATATAACATCATCTAGTATGTTGGCTTTATTGCAACTAATTATATATGTTTAGTTTCATTTTTCACCCTTTTGATTGGTTTGCAGCATTGGAGCCAAAAAGGTGAAAGCTGAGAGCACACAGTTTAGGGAATATTGCAAATCTAGAAATAGAGAAGGGTAAACCCTCAATTATCTATCTATATGAAAACCTGTATTGTTTAATGTTACAAGCAAAACCCAGACTGTTCGAGATATTTAGAAAAATGGGTTGATTTGCTATCTGCAGATGCACGAGGTGTTTCCAACAACTGAAGAAAGAATATGCAACATTGAGAAAGAAGCTTGAAGCTTATTTTCAGCTGGCAAGACAAGCTGGGCCAATGGAGACTGCATGTCGCCCCAAATAACAAAGATAATATGATCCATGCAGAAATAAGTACAGCACTATTATTATCATGTATGTATGTATGTATAATTCGGGTTGGTGAATTTGTTATCTGTTTGTATGCCAAAAATTCACCCCCTTTATCATTGTAGGCTTAGAGCTTGCCTGTAAGCTATGTTTTGAGTTTTGTCAATGGAATGCCTTTTGTCTCTCCCTTGGTACCCATTTTAATACATAACTTGTCTTTTCATTTTTATCTACATGTTTTATATAAAGGCCAATACTTTCTAAATCCTTTTAGAAACGATCTTTCTAAAAGTGGTGAACCATTTTAAAATTCCATATTGCCTAATATTTATACATGAATATTTTTAAATACCAACGGAATTAAATGAATAATTTAACCACGTGTGATTCAAAATATAAATTATTCCTTTGTTCCACGAGCATCTTTTAAATTTTAGACACAACTTGAATTACTGATGAAGCATTAGGTAGTCATGACATTTTTCACGTACACGAAACTTAAAAGTTTCTTTCTATCCAAATATATATATATATCAAAATGGAGCTCATTGACTGCATGAGGTCTTCCACGGAAATTGCTCTCAACCTGACGTTAGAGGCAACCTACTACCCTACCTCCTCTTACCCCATTGCATATGGGAATAGAATTTTATTGTTGCGGTTGTAAAATGGAGTTCATTCAATAAAAGCATTGTTTATAGGACACGTATTTACTTACGTGATAATATTCTTAAAAGCAATAAACGAGTTTTCTTAATTGAGTGTTTTAAGATTAATTTTTAGCAATTAGAATTCTGATTTCGCTTTGGGATAGATGGGTTCTCTCATTTGAAGTGCTTGGGACTATTTTTTTAAGACTTAAAATTTTATATAATTAGAAAAATATTGAGTTCTGACTCGTATTAAACAACTTAAATGTGTAAATTCCGACACTATTCAACTAGCGTATGCAATAGAGTTGATCGAACAAGCAAAGCAGCACTGGCAAAAGCTTGGAGTTGAGACAATTGTAGTAGCTATGGGTTCATATATGCAAATCAAAAGCAATACAGCTTCGGTGGGTTCATGCGACTGAACAAGAAGCCCCCACAAATTCTAATAAAATTACTTTCCCACATTGATGTTTAAACTGATATTGGTGGAACCATAACTTACAAAAGAGGCATTCACATCCCAATTCATAGAGCTCTGCAGAAAGAGTAAAATTTCAGAGATGCTTCTATAGTTATTGGAAAATGGAAATTCATTTGGCATTGAGGATGCAAAATACATGTGGGGTTAAAATCAAATCATTCGGAGAAATTTACCAGAAAAATCTCTGCAAATACCAACGACTATAAATCGAGCTTTTTGCAGTTTTGTAGACATGGAGAGCAGTGTCATCTCGAACCATCTCATATTGAACTTTCTTCGTCACACGAAGCCTCATCCAGCATGTCAAGAAAACCCTTTCTAGCTGTTCTTTGAACTGCTGAGGTGTTGTAACGAAGCCCATAGCTCGACACCGCTTCAAATTTCGTCCACAACTCCTTCTTTAGAGTACTCTCACCCTGATGTTTCCCCCTCCGCATTGTGCTCTGAGGTTCCTTCCACATTGGAGTACTCTCTACGGGAGCCAAGCTAATGCCAGTATTTTCTGCAGAACAAAAAAAATTATACTCAATGTATTTCTCAAACATTAAACGTCAGTGAATTAAACTGCAGCAGCATATGCATAACGATAGATACCTTGGTTAATTATATTGGTTTCTCGACGAGCATTTCCTTTCCAGAAAACCACATCTGCTTGTTGATTTAAAGCACCAGTGGTAGGCAAGTGGTGACCAGTGCCAACATTGTCCAGGGGTTCCTCATCTGGTGGCTCCAACAAAATGCAACTTTTAGGAGGAGAGAATAACCACGTTGGTGAAGACTCCGGCTCTTTTTTCCTGATTTCGGGTACATATGTTTGTTGTATTCCTCGTAGTTCTGGATACTTCAAAGACAGATCCTCAGGGGATTCCTTACTTCCAGAGGATTCAGAAAAACCACTCTTGTTAATTCCAGCAGGATATGGGGTAGACTTGCGAATTAAAAAACAGCTTCTGTTCGAGGACTCATGGATAGGTTCGAGCAGCAAACAAGATTTAGGAGGTGACATTTTTAAGCATGGGGTCGTGACAAGCACGGAATGATCTCTTTTTGGAAACACTGGTGAAGAAACGATCCTACACTCCGATGTGTTAACTGTTTGAACCACAACTAAATCAGAAGGCTTAACTGGAGTTGCCTTCATTTCAACACCATCAAGCAAGTAAGCATTTTCATCCACAGGAATGTTGAGAAAAGATGCAAGCTCAACATTAGATTTGGAAGCTATCCCTTCGATTACTGACTTAGACAATTCACGCCTCTTGGAAGACACTGCTTTCAACAGAGGAAGAGGTGTGAGCAGAAACAGCTGTCTACCTCTCTCAACATTACAGTCAGCAGCACGCCAAGATACAAGGGGAGAGGGGGAGATTAACGAGTCCAACGTTGTTTCTTCTGGACTTCCAACATCAAAGCATTCATTTTCATTTGCATCAACAAAAGTCGCAATTTCAGCTTCCAAGTTTGTTTGAGGCTGATGATCTTCGTGCTCCCCAGTAGGACTGGAAAGTGCCTTCTGAAATCTGGGGACCCACGGCTGCAAATGTAGGAAACAACAATCAATGTTAAATCCGCAACAAATACAATCAAATTCAACTAACACGCATTTTAGAAAATTAACCCAAGAGGATTAACCTTTAAGGAGAAAAGCATATCAGAAATGTCGCTCGTGAAAGATTCAATTTCTTTTCTCCCCTGTTCCCTTGACTTAAGCTTGAAAGCTTCCACAACTAGTTCATCAATCTGCTAAGTTCACAAACAAATTCGCGGAAAAAACAATTTAGGCATAATTACCATCCACACTTTTCAAGCATATCCAAATAATGCAGAAATCAGAAATGTCCTCGAGCGTAGATCGCTTTTACTACATTTCGAGGATTATGTACAGATATTGTACTAAGAGAAAACTGAAAATCCAGACTAACAAAAGACAAACCCTAAAGAAACGCATCAAACGTAATGAGGTACAGAGAAAAGGTGAAAAGAAAATCAATTACGCTACCTGGCGAAGGAGAGAGGAAAGATCGGAGCGAAGGAAGAGGAGGAGATCGAGGGAGTTGTGGTTTTGATTATTACTGTCTTTTTGGATAATCTTCTTCTTCGGCATCTCAGATTTGGAGAAAGTCTTTGTGATTTTATTGTTCGTCAAATCTCTCAGAGGTTTCCTTACTGATTTCGGCTTCGATTCCGTTCTCAGCATCCTTGAGCCTTTTTTTTTCTTCTGGAATTTTCTTCTTTCTTTGTCTCTTCAATCTAGATTTTGTGCCGTTTGATTTTTTTGAATGTCTACTATCGACAAACTATTTATTTATTATTTTATTTTTAAGGATAAACTACACTAGTAGTCCCTAAATTTTTAAAACTTGTATTTCAGTCACTATATTTTTAATTCACTTTAATTACAACAGTTATTAATAAAAATAATATATAACTAAATTGTAATTAAAATAGAGATATGAAAAAGAAACCCATTTACTATTACGCATGGTATTATTCATATCTTCAGTATGGGCTTACAACTAATAAACCCCAAAGTCCAGACCTTACAAGGGACCTGAATCAAGCCTTAATTTATGGGCTATGTCCTTCGGAAAACTCATTTCGAATTAGAGCCGATAAGCGCCGAGTGATGCATATGATTTAACTTTTCAATTGAACTTCACCAGTTAAAAGAGAGTTTACACATATTTTCGATACAACTATTTATTCATGAACAGTTTTTTGACTACGCTCGACTCTAATTTAATGTTGTTGTTGATATTCAATAGTTTAATCTCTTATTATAGTTTGTTTTATCGACACACTCATATTTTTTTCATATCTAGCTTTTGTTTGAGTTTTAGATGAGGTTTTAATATTTTCCTTGTTTAGTTTTTGTCAATAATTATAAAAAAATATTTTGATTATACACTTTCTTTACATTTACGATTGCAAAATATTTTTTCTTTTTAATAAAACTAACTATTTCCATAAAAAAAAACTTTTTACATTGATTTATTATAAAATTAATTTAGTTTGTATATATATATATATATATATATAGTTTTGAATATGTTTAAATAATTAAACGTATGTTATTTTTCGATTTATAGGTAGGATGAGATTTAAGTAGTTTAGGTTATATAAAATTTGAAAGTTTATTTTTAAAAATATTCATTTATTTTTCTTTCTTTTTATCATCAAGCAAATCCAAACGTGAAAGCATGCATTTAATTTATAAAATTGTAAAAATATTCGAAATGATAAAAATGGAGAAGAATTTTGAGGGTAAGGAACAAACCCTAAAGATAATAATTTGAGTTGTAAAACGACACATGTTTTGTCACGTTATGGATTTATATTGCACCAATAAATCCCGAACATATGGGCCTTTGTGGTTCGATATGTAAAGGCTAAAGGGTAGAATAAAAGAATGCTTCTTGACATTATAGATAACTAATTATGTTTAGATAAGTCTCAAACTACCCGTATTTTTAGTACCTAAACTATAAGTTTTGGTATATAAACTTTCAATTTTTTAAATCATATATAAAGTTTAGTTTTTGTTTCATTTTAGTACCCTCGTTCAAATTTTAACGTTAAGTTTTGAAAAAAAAAATGAAAGTTTAGATACTAAAATGGACCAAAACTTAGGAAGGTTGCAACTTGTCCGATCTGTTTTGCTCAGTATCTCAAGCTACTGGAGCAGGCAACTTATTCTTCCTCAAGCAACTATTAGGAAGGTTGAGCAGTTGTGCTCTTGGTTTTTTTGGAAAGGGTCTGATGTTCCTGCCAACGGTGCACGAGTAAGCTGGAAAACCATCTGCTTGCCGAAATCAGAAGGTGGACTGGGGATTCATGACGTAGGAGGTTGGAACAAATCCTGTTCTGTTCAGCTAATCAGAAAGCTTCTCGCTAATGATGGCTCTCTTTGGGTGGCGTGGATGCACTCTTACGTTATTAGAAACGCTGACTTCTGGCAGATGGAAGTCCCTAAAAACGCTAGCTGGAGCTTTAAGTACCTGCTGAAAATTAGGCCTGAGGCTGCTTCCATCCTTGTGAGTCAAGTCCACGAGTTTAGTACGCGATACATCTGGGACAAATTGCGCTCTCCTGCTTCCAAGGTCCCTTGGCACCACCTAGTTTGGTTCTCAGGATGTATTCCCAAGCATAGTATTATTGTTTGGATGGCCATTTTAAACAGACTTCCTACTCGGGTTAGACTCCAGCGTATGGGTTTGGCCATAGAAACTGATAAATGTCTGCTGTGTGGTGAGGAGGCAGAGACAAGGGACCATATTTTCTTTGATTGCCAATTTGCTAAAGAGCTTTGGGAATCTATTCTTGAGTTATGCTGCATTTCTCGTGGAGCTTGCAGCTGGGTTAGTGAGCTGGCGTGGGCCACCCTTCTATTCAAGGGTAAGTCCCTCATCGTGGGGATTCTTAAGCTCGCCTGGTCTGGGCACATCTATAGTATATGGAAAGAGAGGAATGAAAGATTGTTTGGGAATAGAGCAAGATCGAAGGAGGAAGTGCTAGGTGACATCAAGGAGGCCATCCGTATCCGGTTGGTGGGCAAAGCTTTTAACCGGTGTGATCTGTCTAATATCGCTCTGTGTACTAACTGGGGCATTACTTGAATCTTATTGTTCTGCTATAGCTAGCTGGTTGTTCTATGTGTTTTTTCCCTTGTTCTTTTGTGCTGGCTATCGGCTTTGTTTACTGTAGCAGGATTTCATGCTTCTTGGGTAATGGAATTGATTTATCCAAAAAAATAAAATGGACCAAAACTGATAGTTTAGATACTAAAACACGTTAAATTTTTAACAATAGGGATGACAACTAAATGTGTATGATTTTGAAAAAAAAATAAAAGTTTAAGTACTAAAACGGATTAAAAGTAATAGTTTGGATACTAAATGTGTAGTTTACCCAAAAAATTTATTATTTTAATATCGTATTGTTCTTGTAACCAATGTATTTAACTTTCGAGTTGGCTTAAGTGACCATAACCAAATCTTGGTTAGCATAATAAAATAATTTCATATATAGTTGGTTTAATGATTTTTGTTGGATATTTTATTATAATATTGACTTATGTGAGTGCATGAAAATGAAAGCACTTAGTTTCTTACTATAATCTTGACTTAACGTAGGAAGATATCTTAATTAAACATATGTCGTCATCAAGTTCAAAGTAAGTAGACTCTCTAAACCCTAAGGGTGCGTTTGGTTCACGGAATGTAAGATTACCAGTGGGAATAAAAGATTACCAGGGAATATGATTACTGGGAATGTTGTATTTTGTGTTTGGTTGGTTTAGCAGGAATGTAAGATTACCGTGTTTGGTTAAAGGAATAAAATATTATTGAAATGTATATTTGACCAAATTGTCCTTATTATATATTTGTATAATATTACAAATTGTAAAATATTTATATATTTTCTTTAAAAAATTAAATTCATAATATTTATATATTTTTTATACAAAATTAAAAATATAAAAAAGGTTTAATGAAAGGGTAAAAAAAATTTTAACCCCTGAACTTCATATAAAATTTTAATTATATATTTTTTTTTGTAAAACTAAAATAATTTAAGGATAAATTTGTAATTTAACATTCGTAGAATTTTTATTATTCAATGACAGAATAAGGATATTTTTGAAAAAAAAATAAAAATTTAAGGGCATTTTAGTCCAAAACACCGGTAATGTTGCAATACCTAAGGGAAGGGAGGTAATGACATTCCCGGTAATATACCCAAAAAAATCTACTATTGGTAATAAAACATTATCGGAAATGAGATTTCCGGCTAACCAAACATGGGAATGTGGGATTCCCATCCCATGGGAATCCCACAATCCTTGAACCAAACACCCCCTAAATGTAAAGGATTCTTAACCAAGGGTTTTTTATAATCTATTAAAAATCAATTCATTAAAAAACAACAATTTCAGTGATTTAATATTTTAAATGTATTTGATAATAAAAAAGAAAAATTATGTGATACAACTTTTTAGGGTTAACTACATGATTGATCACTTATGCTTGTGTTTTGTCCATTTTTCCTTATCGAATTCAACAACAAAAAAACAGTATATGTTACTTTCGTTTTTATTTAATTAAGAAATGATTACTTTTGTTTTTATTTAATTAATATGTGATCACCACAGGTTAATTGCCACAGGTTAATTGCGTTAACAGTTAACAGAATAGGTGACGTGGTATTTTGGTATAATCATACATTAGGTCCATGTTATTTACATATTCTCTCAATTTAGTTATATTTTTTAATAAATTAAAATAAATTTAATCTTCCAATCGAATGGTGAATGATGCCACTGATGCTACGTAAGATGCTATAGCAATTACGCAAGTATACGTATCGTTCAAGTAATAAAGTGGAAGCTAAATAAGCTTCGGATGTTGCACTCACAAAGAGCAAAACAAATTACAATAGAGTTGTGTGAAAGATTTCAAAGGATGTATGGTTGAATGATGGAATAAGAAATAGACAACAAAGTATTAAAACCAGAATGATATGTGTCAGGCAGTGCTACAGCATTCAGGAGAGCAACGAATCAAAGATTTAAAGGATGCAGGTGTTATTTGGCCGTTCTCATTATGGATATGCTTAAAATAGTGTGTTCATGTGTCTAGCGATGATTAACACCTTTCAATTAACAAGAATCAACCCTCATTAATTCAATTTAATCAAATAGTTTACAATGTTGGACAATTGGCAATATATATTTGTATATACTAACTTTCCTTTTCACAAACACCAACACTGCACAAAGATAGTATGAGAAAAATCTATAATTTTTATTTCTAAAAACTATAAAAATCACATACATAGAGATATATTTATTTATAAAATCTTCCCATAAGCACGACAACACATAAAAACAAGGTTTAAACACAAATATAACAAGAGACATTTAATCAAACACCTTATGTTGAAAACCAAATAACATCCAAAAAAAAAATTATTCAACTAAATAATCATCACTTCCCTATGTCAGAAAAGGGACGAAAATAAAGTAGAACTCCATTTGATCGTCGTTGCTACACAACAATGCTCTCCGACTGCTGCTGCATTTCCAGATTAATTGTTTAGGCTGCCATGGTAATGGTGGGAGAGAAAATAGGAGGCAACTAGGGTTTTTTGAAGATGGAAAAAGTGTGTAAACATATTGTATTTATAGTCCATCAAAATCAAACTTTCCACCAATAGAAAAATCCCTACTTTATAGATAATTCATTTTTAATTTCAAACTCCAGCCTTTAATCCCGTAACT